TATCCTTTTTATTTGGGCCTTTGGGGATAGGTTCAGTGTAATATCAACCCCCCAGATCTGTCTCTCTATTTGACTCATGCATGATATCACCTCCCAGTTGGTACATTGCGTTCAGCCTTCTGTTCCCTTCGCCTAATTTTATTACTTTTAACTTTCCTGAATTGACCTTTAGTAGCCATTTTCTAGACCATTCCACCAGTTTGTCCAGGTCGTCCTGTAGTCTCTGTTTATCATCATCGGTCTTGATTCTTCTTATGATTTTTGCATCATTAGCAAACATTGAGAGGAATGAGCCTATACCCTCTGGAAGGTCGTTTACATATATTAGAAACAGGATGGAACCAAGTACAGAGCCCTGGGAACTCCCCTGGTGACATCTCGCCACTCTGATGTCTTCCCCGTCACAGTTACTCGCTGTTTCCTGTTGCTTAGATACTACCTTATCCACTGGAGCACCTTCCCTTTTACTCCTGCCTGTTGCTCCAAGTTTTGTAACAACCTTTTGTGAGGTACTGTGTCAAAGGCTTTCTGATAGTCCAAGAAAATGCAGTCTGTCCATCCTTCTCTTTCTTGCCTAATTTTTGTTGCTTGGTCATAGAATTCTACTAACCCTGTGAGGCACGATCTACCATCTCTGAACCCATGCTGGTGGTGTGTTACAAGCTTTTTCCCTCCAGATGCTCTACGAGCCTTTTCCCCGCGATCTTCACCACCCTTGCATGGTATACAAGTTAGAGAAACTGGCCTGGGTGGTGTATTGTGTCACAAGTGTATGGTGCCACACGTGTATGATACGAGAGGTGTATGGTGCCACACGTGTATGATACGAGAGGTGTATGGTGCCACACGTGTATGATACGAGAGGTGTATGGTGTCGCAGATGCAACCCGTTCTCGCAAATTTAATAAGTCAATATTGACTTATTAAATATGTGCATAGGTGACATACTTAACATAATAGATACCCTTAAAAAGATTCATAGAAAACATCGACCTTACCTAACCTTGTTAGTATCTTAAGATAAGCATCTTATTGCTTCGTAATTACAATTATTACTTAACCTATAATAGGTATAGGTTAAGTAATAATTGTAATTACGAAGCAATAAGATGCTTATCTTAAGATACTAACAAGGTTAGGTAAGGTGAGTGTTTTCTATGAATCTTTTTAAGGGTATCTATTATGTTTAGAATATCACCTATGCACGTAGTTAATAAGTCCATATTGACTTATTAAATTTGCGAGAACGGGTTGCGCAGATGTATGCTTCTTTTTCATTATAAATTACAAAAAATCTGCAGCAGATCTTATTTCTGTGTTAATATAAATGATGAAGTATGACCGGTGTCGGGAGGTGTGTCCACAGGCTGGCGGGTCAGATATACCTGGTTCTCTCTCTCACCTCAAGTTATTAACACATTCTCCTTATCTCTCCCTCCCCCTCTCTTGCTCTCCTTCTCCACTCTCTCGCTCTCCCTTCTCTCTCGCTCTCACTCTCCTCTCGCTCTTCCTTCCCCTCTCTTTCCCTCCCTCTCCCCTCTCTCTCGCTCTCCCTTCCCCTCCCCTCTCTCTTGCTCTCCCTTTCTCTCTCGGTCTCCCTCGTCTCCCTCTCTCTTTCGCTCTCTTTCCCCCCTCTCCCTCCCTCTCCCTCCCTCTCCCTCTCTCTCTCTCTCTCTCTCTCTCTCTCTCTCTCTCTCTCTCTCTCTCTCTCTCTCTCTCTCTCTCTCTCTCTCTCTCTCTCTCTCTCTCTCTCTCTCTCTCTCTCTCTCTCTCTCTCTCTCTCTCTCTCTCTCTCTCTCTCTCTCTCTCTCTCTCTCTCTCTCTCTCTCTCTCTCTCTCTCTCTCTCTCTCTCTCTCTCTCTCTCTCTCTCTCTCTCTCTCTCTCTCTCTCTCTTTCTCTCTCTCTCTCTCTCTCTCTCTCTCTCTCTCTCTCTCTCTCTCTCTCTCTCTCTCTCTCTCTCTCTCTCTCTCTCTCTCTCTCTCTCTCTCTCTCTCTCCTCCCTCCCTCCCTCCCCTCCCCCTCTCTCGCTCGACTCCCTCCCCCCTCTCCCTCTCGCTCCCCCTCTCTCTTTCTCACCCCCCTTCTCTCTCTCTCTCCTCTCTCTCTCTCTCTCTCTCTCTCTCTCTCTCTCTCTCTCCCTCTCTCTCTCTCTCCCTCTCTCTCTCGCTCCCCTCTCACTCTCCCTCCCCTTCTCTCTCGCTCTCCCTCTCCCCCTCTCTCTCCCCTCTCTCTCCCCCCCACTCTCGCTCTCCCTTCCCCTCTCACTCGCTCTCTCACTCTCCCTCCCCCCCTCTCTCTCTTGCTCTCCTTTCTCCTCTTCCTCACGTGGTCACCTTTATCAACACCCTCTTGATCACTTAAACTATCACTGTAACACTGTTACGGGCTCTCCATAGTCCGTGCTACATGGGCATTTTGTTCCGAGTAGCTGAATCTAAAACAACAACAAATATATATGTTAGTCTTTCATGCCATCTGAATGCTTCTACACTGCATTTCTGCCATTGTCCGAAAACTACTCGCTCTAGTCATCACAGCTCTACTGGGACGTGGTCGTTTCACCAGGAAGAAGAGGTCCCAGTAGGACTAATGCCGCAAGCTGGCTACCCGCCTCTCAACCCAAGGCTGTAAACCTGTCCCCAAGTCTCGGCTTGAGGACATCACACCCTGGATGGCTGCTGATTTATATCAGATTAAAGGGGAATAGGTCTCTGTCGGGTTCAGCCGTGAAGTGTGGTAGTTTGACACACTGCAGCTGACTCCTTTGACAGCACACTGGTCGCTGGCTATACTGATTGGGTCGCTGGCTATACTGATTGGGTCGCTGGCTATATACTGATTGGCTATACTAGAGTTGCCTAGAGCTAATCTCCTGGACCTCCCGTCACAGTGTAGACCCCTGCATGCCTGCTCTCATGTACCGCTAATCTCTTGGAGTATACATTATTTGTCAAGTTCTTTTGTGCACGAGTTTATTAGGTAATTCCCAAAACATAGTTCGTGGGTTACAACGCCTGCAAGAAGAATATAAGTATATCTAAGTGTTTTACTTATATTGGAATATAGATGGATGTAGTATACCAACGATGGAAGACAGGGGGATATAGTATACCAACCATGGAAGACAGGAGGATGAGCTTCGACCACCATGGGAGACAGGAAGATGAGCTTTGACCACAATGGGCGACAAGAGGATGAACTTCGATCACCATGGAAGACAGGATGATGAGCTTCGCCCACCATGGAAGACAGGAAGATGAGCTTCGACCACCGTGAAAGATAGGAGGATGAACTACGACCGCTATGGATGACAGGAGGATGAGGTTTGACCACCATGGAAGAAAGGAGGATGAGCTTCGCCCACCATGGAAGAAAGGAGGATGAACTACTCCCACCATGGAAGACAGAAGGTGGAGCAAGACCACACAAACGATACACCTACCATGGATGCAAAGATGAACAAAGGCCATGTTTGTAAACATAAAAATATGTTTGCCCAACTTGTAGGACAGAAGGATGAGTTATGCTCAGTGGTTAACGGTTCCCCTCCATGTATGTAAGTAGGATAAGCCTTAATGAATAACGAATGTGATGGAACCACGTCAAGTGGTTGCATCGGCTGACAGGAGTTTGTGGGGATTAAGATATCAACACTAATATTACTATACTGGAGGGGGTTACCGGCGGGGTCCGGTCTCTTGCCGTCTGTCACTTTCTCCTTCGCTACCATTCTCCCTACCATTTTGTCTCCCCCTCTCCCTAGCATTCTGTCTTCTGTCTCCCCCTCTTCCATTCTCTCTCCCCTTCTCCCATTTTCTTTCATTTTAACCCCTCCCGTTCACTCTCCCAGTGAGCAAACCATACTCTTGTAATGTTGATTCAACGACATCGACGTTAAATCAACGTTATCGACGTTGATTCAACGTTATATACTAAAAGTGTGTACAATTTTGGTATATCTCTGCATTGTTACATCTTGCTTAATGCATAGTGCATGTGTGATGAGTCCGATTCATAGTTTGCATTATCAGTGAGTACTTCACCTTGCGGTTACCTTGCGATGATTTCGGGGCTCAACGTCCCTACGGCCCGGTCCGGTCCTCGACCAGGCCTCCTGGTTGCTGGACTGGTCAACAAGGCTGTTGGATGCGGCTGCCCGCAGCCTGACGTATGAGTCACAGCCTCGTTGATCAGGTATCCTTTGGAGGTGTTTATCAAATTCTCTCATGAACACTGAGGGGTCGGTCAGATATGCCCGTTATGTGTAGTGGAAGCGAGTTGAACAGTCTCGGGTCTCTGACGTTGATAGAGTTCTCTCTCAGAGTACCTATAGCACCTCTGCTCTTCAACGGGGTATTCTGCACATCCTGCCATGCCTTGTGGTCTCATGTGGTGTTATTTCTCAGAGCAGGTTTAGGACCAGCCTCTGTCTCCCTCCCCCGTATATATCGGGGTATATTACAAAACTATTACAAAATAAAAATATTACATTGTATTACAAAAAACTATTACATTATATTACAAAAAACTATTACATTGTATTACAAAAAAATATTACATTGTTTTATATAAAAGTATTACATTGTATTTAAAAAACTATTACATTGTATTGCAAAAAACTATTACATTGTATTAAAAACTATTACATTGTATTAAAAAACTATTACAAAAGCTATTACATTGTAATTAAACTATTACATTGTAATTAAACTATTACATTGTAATTAAACTATTACATTGTAATTAAACTATTACATTGTAATAAAATTACTACATTGTAATACAACTATTACATTGTAATTAAACTATTACATTGTAATTAAACTATTACATTGTAATTAAACTATTACATTGTAATTAAACTATTACATTGTAATAAAATTACTACATTGTAATACAACTATTACATTGTAATAAAACTATTACAAAAGGAGTAAATTACAAACTAACACGACCCATCGTCACGATACGAGACTAAGGTTTGTGATCCTCGTTACAGGCGGTTTTTGGAAGCTGTTGCCCATTTAGCAGACATGAAACGAGCGGCCTCTGCAGAGCAGAAAACATCGCTCCTTCCTTACCCACACCAGGAAGAAGTTAAAAAGCTTGCTGCAAGTCAGAACAACTTCACGAGGGATTTCTATGTGGTGAGTTATCTGTATGACAGTTAAATGTGTTAGTAAATCACGAATTTAGTCACAAATACCCAGCAGGGCTATCTAGTGGCTTTCACAGTAATAATAGGTTGAACAATACGTATACAATGTTGCCTGCACAGGATTATTAGGTACCCCAGTAATGTTATATTGTGTCCTTCACAGGATTATTAGGTACCCCAGAAATGATATATTGTTGCCTTCACAGGATTATAAGGTACCCAAGGGGGTCCTACTAATTATCCAAAGCGTCTCAAAGCTGTCCAAAAATTCCTAGCATTACGAAAGTAATTAAGAAATATGACTAATATGACTAATTTCAAATAGAAATTAGACGAAACTAAGTAGCAGGTGACGCCAATGGAAGTTGACGAGCCAAGTGATTATGTTGTGGACCGACTTATGAAGATATATTGTTACCTGGAGAGTGCTGGCATATCAGCCACCTGAACCTAACCTCACCTGGCAACAATATATCTTGGATAAGTGGCTCCACAACATTGTCGCTTGGATCGTCGACTGCCTATGGTGTCACCTGCCACTTAGTTTCATCTAATTGCCTAAATATTCGTTAAAAGAGTAAAAATATTGTTCATATTTTACATTCAGCACCAACATTATAGTTAGTAAATATATCATATTTCTTGGTTACTTACGTTATGCTATGCTACAAGGCTCAGGGTAGCTATGGATAATTAGTATGATCGGTACCCAATAATGATAAATCATGGCCTTCACAGGATTAATAGGTTCTCCAGTAAGTATACTTCGTGTCCTTCACAGCACTATTATGTTCTCCAGTAATTATACATCGTGATGTTCACAGGATTATGTTCTCCAGTAATGATATATCGTGACCTTCACAGGATTATTAGGTTCTCCAGTAAATACACATCGTGACCTTCAGAGGATTATTGGGTTCTCCAATAAGTATACTTCGTGGCCTTCACGGGATTATTAGGTACTATGTTATGGTAATAGCTCATTGCATGCTCTCAAGCGATGGCATGGAAGGCACTTTTGGAGTCAGTGGAGATGGTGTAATCACCAACTGGCAGTGTGGATATTATTTATAGAACTTGCTACAGTGCAAATAATTCTGGTGTAAATATTGTTAGATGGTGGTGTGTTCGCCATCCCTGCTTGATGGTGGTGTGGTCCCCATCCCTGCTTGATGGTGGTGTGTTGGCCATCCCTGCTTGATGGTGGTGTGTTCGCCATCCCTGCTTGATGGTGGTGTGTTGGCCATCCCTGCTTGATGGTGGTGTGTTGGCCATCCCTGCTTGATGGTGGTGTGGTCCCCATCCCTGCTTGATGGTGGTGTGTTCGCCATCCCTGCTTGATGGTGGTGTGTTCGCCATCCCTGCTTGATGGTGGTGTGTTCGCCATCCCTGCTTGATGGTGGTGTGTTCGCCATCCCTGCTTGATGGTGGTGTGTTGGCCATCCCTGCTTGATGGTGGTGTGTTCGCCATCCCTGCTTGATGGTGGTGTGTTCGCCATCCCTGCTTGATGGTGGTGTGTTCGCCATGCCTGCTTGATGGTGGTGTGTTCGCCATCCCTGCTTGATGGTGGTGTGTTGGCCATCCTTGCTTGATGGTGGTGTGTTGGCCATCCCTGCTTGATGGTGGTGTGTTGGCCATCCTTGCTTGATGGTGGTGTGTTGGCCATCCCTGCTTGATGGTGGTGTGTTGGCCATCCCTGCTTGATGGTGGTGTGTTGGCCATCCCTGCTTGATGGTGGTGTGGTCCCCATCCCTGCTTGATGGTGGTGTGTTGGCCATCCCTGCTTGATGGTGGTGTGTTGGCCATCCCTGCTTGATGGTGGTGTGGTCCCCATCCCTGCTTGATGGTGGTGTGTTGGCCATCCCTGCTTGATGGTGGTGTGTTGGCCATCCCTGCTTGATGGTGGTGTGTTGGCCATCCTTGCTTGATGGTGGTGTGTTGGCCATCCCTGCTTGATGGTGGTGTGTTGGCCATCCCTGCTTGATGGTGGTGTGTTGGCCATCCCTGCTTGATGGTGGTGTGTTGGCCATCCCTGCTTGATGGTGGTGTGTTGGCCATCCTTGCTTGATGGTGGTGTGTTGGCCATCCCTGCTTGATGGTGGTGTGTTGGCCATCCTTGCTTGATGGTGGTGTGTTGGCCATCCCTGCTTGATGGTGGTGTGTTGGCCATCCTTGCTTGATGGTGGTGTGTTGGCCATCCCTGCTTGATGGTGGTGTGTTGGCCATCCTTGCTTGATGGTGGTGTGTTGGCCATCCCTGCTTGATGGTGGTGTGTTGGCCATCCTTGCTTGATGGTGGTGTGTTGGCCATCCCTGCTTGATGGTGGTGTGTTGGCCATCCCTGCTTGATGGTGGTGTGGTCCCCATCCCTGCTTGATGGTAGTGTGGTCCCCATCCTTGCTTGATGGTGGTGTGTTGGCCATCCCTGCTTGATGGTGGTGTGTTGGCCATCCCTGCTTGATGGTGGTGTGTTGGCCATCCCTGCTTGATGGTGGTGTGTTGGCCATCCTTGCTTGATGGTGGTGTGTTGGCCATCCCTGCTTGATGGTGGTGTGTTGGCCATCCTTGCTTGATGGTGGTGTGTTGGCCATCCCTGCTTGATGGTGGTGTGTTGGCCATCCCTGCTTGATGGTGGTGTGGTCCCCATCCCTGCTTGATGGTAGTGTGGTCCCCATCCTTGCTTGATGGTGGTGTGTTGGCCATCCCTGCTTGATGGTGGTGTGTTGGCCATCCCTGCTTGATGGTGGTGTGTTGGCCATCCCTGCTTGATGGTGGTGTGGTCCCCATCCCTGCTTGATGGTGGTGTGGTCCCCATCCCTGCTTGATGGTGGTGTGTTGGCCATCCCTGCTTGATGGTGGTGTGTTCGCCATCCCTGCTTGATGGTGGTGTGTTGGCCATCCCTGCTTGATGGTGGTGTGTTCGCCATCCTTGCTTGATGGTGGTTTGTTGGCCATCCCTGCTTGATGGTGGTGTGTTGGCCATCCCTGCTTGATGGTGGTGTGTTGGCCATCCCTGCTTGATGGTGGTGTGTTGGCCATCCCTGCTTGATGGTGGTGTGTTCGCCATCCCTGCTTGATGGTGGTGTGTTCGCCATCCCTGCTTGATGGTGGTGTGGTCCCCATCCCTGCTTGATGGTGGTGTGGTCCCCATCCTTGCTTGATGGTGGTGTGTTGGCCATCCCTGCTTGATGGTGGTGTGTTGGCCATCCTTGCTTGATGGTGGTGTGTTCGCCATCCTTCCTTGATGGTGGTGTGTTGGCCATCCCTGCTTGATGGTGGTGTGTTGGCCATCCCTGCTTGATGGTGGTGTGTTCGCCATCCTTGCTTGATGGTGGTTTGTTGGCCATCCCTGCTTGATGGTGGTGTGTTGGCCATCCCTGCTTGATGGTGGTGTGTTGGCCATCCCTGCTTGATGGTGGTGTGTTGGCCATCCCTGCTTGATGGTGGTGTGTTCGCCATCCCTGCTTGATGGTGGTGTGTTGGCCATCCCTGCTTGATGGTGGTGTGTTGGCCATCCTTGCTTGATGGTGGTGTGTTCGCCATCCCTGCTTGATGGTGGTGTGTTGGCCATCCCAGCTTGATGGTGGTGTGTTGGCCATCCCTGCTTGATGGTGGTGTGTTGGCCATCCCTGCTTGATGGTGGTGTGTTGGCCATCCCTGCTTGATGGTGGTGTGTTGGCCATCCCTGCTTGATGGTGGTGTGGTCCCCATCCTTGCTTGATGGTGGTGTGTTGGCCATCCCAGCTTGATGGTGGTGTGTTGGCCATCCTTGCTTGATGGTGGTGTGTTCGCCATCCCTGCTTGATGGTGGTGTGTTGGCCATCCCTGCTTGATGGTGGTGTGGTCCCCATCCTTGCTTGATGGTGGTGTGCTGGCCATCCCAGCTTGATGGTGGTGTGTTGGCCATCCCTGCTTGATGGTGGTGTGTTGGCCATCCCTGCTTGATGGTGGTGTGTTGGCCATCCCTGCTTGATGGTGGTGTGTTGGCCATCCCAGCTTGATGGTGGTGTGTTGGCCATCCCTGCTTGATGGTGGTGTGTTGGCCATCCCTGCTTGATGGTGGTGTGTTCGCCATCCTTGCTTGATGGTGGTGTGTTGGCCATCCCTGCTTGATGGTGGTGTGTTGGCCATCCCTGCTTGATGGTGGTGTGTTGGCCATCCCTGCTTGATGGTGGTGTGTTGGCCATCCCTGCTTGATGGTGGTGTGTTCGCCATCCCTGCTTGATGGTGGTGTGTTCGCCATCCCTGCTTGATGGTGGTGTGTTGGCCATCTTTGCTTGATGGTGGTGTGTTCGCCATCCTTGCTTGATGGTGGTGTGTTGGCCATCCTTGCTTGATGGTGGTGTGTGGGCCATCCCTGCTTGATGGTGGTGTGTTGGCCATCCCTGCTTGATGGTGGTGTGTTGGCCATCCCTGCTTGATGGTGGTGTGTTGGCCATCCCTGCTTGATGGTGGTGTGTTGGCCATCCCTGCTTGATGGTGGTGTGTTGGCCATCCTTGCTTGATGGTGGTGTGTTGGCCATCCCTGCTTGATGGTGGTGTGGTCCCCATCCCTGCTTGATGGTGGTGTGTTGGCCATCCCTGCTTGATGGTGGTGTGTTGGCCATCCCTGCTTGATGGTGGTGTGTTGGCCATCCCTGCTTGATGGTGGTGTGTTGGCCATCCCTGCTTGATGGTGGTGTGGTCCCCATCCCTGCTTGATGGTGGTGTGTTGGCCATCCCTGCTTGATGGTGGTGTGTTGGCCATCCTTGCTTGATGGTGGTGTGTTGGCCATCCCTGCTTGATGGTGGTGTGGTCCCCATCCCTGCTTGATGGTGGTGTGTTGGCCATCCCTGCTTGATGGTGGTGTGTTCGCCATCCTTGCTTGATGGTGGTGTGTTGGCCATCCCTGCTTGATGGTGGTGTGTTGGCCATCCTTGCTTGATGGTGGTGTGGTCCCCATCCCTGCTTGATGGTGGTGTGTTGGCCATCCCTTCTTGATGGTGGTG